CCTGGGGGGTGTTTGCCCGGGGAGCAGCAATTGCTGCTCGGGAACTGTCTGGGTATCGGTCGGCGAATGGTGAGCAATTGCATTGTTCATCACTTGCTTTGTATATTGTTATTATTATTATCATTATACTACTACTACTGCTATTATTATTATTATTATTATTTACCTTATTTCAATTATTAAACTGTTCTTATCTCAACCCAGGAGTGTTTTTTTTCCACTCTTACTCCTCCGATTGTCTCCCCCATCCCATCGGGGTAGGGGGAGTGAGCAAGCGGCTGCGTGGTGCTTAGTTGCTGGCTGGAGCTAAACCACAACATCAGGTTATAAGGAAAAAATTCTAGCCTCTTGGCCACACTGTTGAAACCTGCCAACTTCAATTTAAAACCAGTCTGCTCCATGTAATCCTTGGTTGAGATGTACCATTGTACTGAATGCTTTTTACATTAGCAATTTTTATGCTTGTGAAGTTGCTTTGATACTGTTATTTTAGTGCAAAATTCTAGTGTAGGTGTACTGTATCATCGTCAAGTTAGTTCAGCATCAGCCTGCAAATGACATAGAAGTAGCAACACTGGTGTAGCTACACAGTGCAAATTCCTTACATATATAAATATCATCATTCTGCCTGGTGTATGAGAGCCCTAATGGGGCCACTGGTATTTTACACAGCTCTCTGCATGTGGAGTACTTTGAAATATGTGCCCCAGAATATGAGGCTGGATTAAATGGGCTTTGTTCTCACTGGAGAAGGCTACATAATATTCTTTTGTCACCAGATAAGTAAGTTGATAGCAGAGATAACACTCAGCAGCTCTCTTGAGATGCTCATCACTTTCTTATGTCTCTGCCAGATTCCCACAGGAGAGACACTGGACCAGTTTGTGTGCTCTGCTCTGTCCAGTGTGCCAGAAGAGGAAGCAAACAAAAAGAATAATGAAGAGGGCTGTATTTCTGCATGGCATGAAGCCAAACTGTATCTTGTTCATGCTGTCAGCAAGCTCAGACTCTATGCACAGGTACCGTTCAATAAGTTAATAGATTAAATTCCTAATTTTTGCATGTAGGCTCTCAACAGTAACTCAGTTAAAAGATCTGAGTTAGCTATTAGCTGTTATTGTCATGAACTTTTTTCATCTTGCTCAGAAGACAAAGTAATCCTTATAAAGAATCGTTACAGCAGAAGTATAATCTATCACCATGTGTCCACTTAATCTGATTTTCTCATTAACTCAAATACGGATTTGAAATCTAATAGGGAGTATAGTGAAACATACTTCACTGCAGAGGTCTGACAGAAGGAATCCCCATTTACTGTCCCACCTGAGCCTGAATGTTGGGCAAAAATGAAAGCAGACTACAGGCCTCCACTGATACAGTATATAATTCATTTATTTTTAATTCCCCTCCACTATCTCCGGCAATAGTGGCTGAAGCATGTTGAAGGGAGATTTACGGTTATCCCAGTATAGCATCTTAAAATTCTGCTCTGGTAGAACAGCTTGGCATGCAGTCTCTATGATGACATGTGTAGCTGTGTGGAGAAAAGGATAAACCATTCAGATGTTTCTTAAGGAAAACACTTACCTAACTGCCTTAACACTAGTGTTTGTTTTTCTGCTGAAATATGTTTTTTCCCTCATTAAAAAATATCAGCTGTGTATCAAGCTGCTCTGGAGATGTTTGCAATATCATCTAAAGAAAGCATGTAAAGCTTATCATGTATTTCCTCAAAACATAGCCTTTTGATTTCTCTCTTGATAAAGGTTTCACTGATGCATGATGACTTGAAGTAATAGTTTAATGTGATTGCCAAAACTAATGCATTAATTCCTATTGTAGCTGTACAAAAATTTGCTAATAATTTCAGCCACGACTTTAAAACTCTTCACAAGAGCTGGCATCCTCATGATGGCAACCTGAAGTACTGCAAGCTGCTGGCCACTGGGAATTCCCTTGGTGAACAGGACATGTCTTATAGTAAAAATCTGTTATAACCACTTGGCATTAGAAAAACGTAATAGTGGAGGAGAGGAAAGCAGTCAGTAGGTTTGGCCAGGCCTTGGCATGCCTTATTCTAGGGTACACAATGGGAGCATGCAGGCTCCTTCTCCATCTCTTTGTGTAATGGGACCCCAAAAATGTTGAGGCTGCTGCCTTCCATCATGTTGGTAGTGTAGGCAGGAGTCCTGTAAGGGAAAGCAAGCCTGAGTAACTGACTGTGGAGGTCTGCTTTTGGCTGGTTTCAGTCTCAGGCCATCTTTTTACTGTTCCTGGGTCTTTGGGGAAGGAAAGCACAGCATAGGATGTTAGTTCTCTCTATGATGTAGCATGTTATATTACCAACTTGCAGGTCAGTATAAACTGTATTGAAAATCAACCTTTGAGGCCAGTCATTTCAGAGGCTAGAGACATTGTTAGGGAGAAATTTTACTATCACTGTTAACTGTGGTTTTTTTTAAAAGAGATGCAAATTCTGTGTCTTGTCTAAATAAGAAAGTTTGATTCTGTAACAAGTTGTGTTCTGTTTTTCATTCAATCTGCTAGGTGTTTGAGCAATGGTTCAGCACCAGCCTCTCTCAGAAACTCCTTCTGGAACTTGAAAGAATTATAGCTGATTTAATGTCTCAGTTTCTAGATGACAGGGAAGCCAGGAAACTTTTTGCAGAGATAAATACCCTGATCCAGCAATGGCATGAGAAATCAGATACCTACTTTTCAGAAGGATATACTGCATCTCATGATCTGTAAGTTATACTTTGTGCAACTTGTCTTCTGAAGTTCAGATCAACTTGAATACTTACCTTCACATTACATTTAATTGATTTCTGATATTTGTGGGTTTTTTTTATTTTTTATTCTTTAATTCAAAACCTCATATTCAGTCAAGAAATTGTGCTGATGCATACACATTCTGAAAAAGAAATTAAATCTTTGATTCAGAGTATACTTACAGGCTCAGCAGAGGACCCAAGTACG